CGCCACCATCGCCGCCGCCACCGCCGCCGCCGCCATCGCCGCCGCCACCATCGCCGCCACCACCATTGCCGCCACCACCATCGCCGCCACCATCATCACTGCTGTCATCAGCACCATCATCATCTCTACTGTCACCACCATCACCATCACCATCATCTCTACTGTCACCACCACCACCATCACCATCATCTCTATTGTCATCACCACCATCACCTCCACCATCACCATCTCCACCATTGACACCCAGGGTCATGGTGTGGAGTAGGAATAGCTGCACCAGACCCCTCACCCCGCTGCCCTCTCTCCTGCCTTGCTCTCGCCTCCCACCTGGTTTCTGGACCAGGCTCACCCATGTCTTACCTGGTCTATGGCCACAGCAGCCTCTTTAGATACGCAGGGTGTGGCGCCCATGGTTTCAGAAGTCCTGGTGTCGCTGGCGACTGGGTGCCCTGACCGCTGGTAAGGCCCGGCCCAAGGCTCCCGTTCTTGTGCCGCTGGCCAGGCCTTTGTGGAGGGTACCCTCCCGCTTCTTGAAATGCCATGGAGCCTGCTGTGTGAAGGTGAGGACAGCTGGAGGGCGGTTGGTCCCTAGGCCAGTGCTGCCCCACATGGTCCTGCCAGTCCGCCCCACCCAACGGCCGGGTCTCCTCTGCAACGTGACAGTGCTTGGCTTGCCTGTCGGAGGAGGAGAGTATTTTTAGTCTCGAACCCACCACGTGAAGAGAGACAAGTTATCAATAGCAGCAGCAAAGGGCTTTTTCTCTTCTTCTTTTTTCTCCTCCCATGTCTTTGGGACCTGAACAATCTGCACCCATTAAATTATGCCAAGAGAGAAGACTGGCACTCCCCTGGTGAACTTCTCAGCGCGGCTTCCCCACACTGCAGCTTTGCACCCAGCTCCTCGTGGTGACCCGGCTCAGCAGCCCCACCCCGACTCCCCGGCCCCTGCCAGAAGGGCTCCTGCAGCTGCTCCAGGACAGCTGGCAGAGGCTGGGAGGAGGCTGGTGGGGAGGCCGAGTCCCCTCAGAGTTGGCCTGGGTCCCCAGTGCAGCTGCACGGTAGCACCTGAAGCCATGCATTTGCCTGATGCTTCCTGGTGCGCCGCGCCACTGGCCGAGCGGGCAAGCACCGTGAGCTGACGGCCCGTTGCCCAGTGGAGCCTGAGTGCTGCTGAGGAGGCCCAAGCCTGTGGTCAGGTGGGTTTGGGCGGAGGGCTCACATAAAGCTCTGGCGCCCTTCTTTGCCTCAGGCTTGTGGTGCTCGTCCAGCCCTGGTGCCCTGTCCTGAGCCGGGGCTGCTGGGACTGGGCGCCTGCCATCGAGATGTTTCTGCAGGACCCTGCGGGGAAACGCTGAGCCAACATGACCTCCCGCCTGAGGGTGAGTGAGA